TTAAAGCCACTTTCTCTAACTTCGTTTTTGACACTTTTTAGAAGMTCTGCATAAGTTTGACCTTGAGTTTTAATGAAAATGGCCTTAGTTTTTGATTCCCTTTTTATTTTACCTGTTTCTTGAGTTTTTYCGAACTGGTGTTTCCTCCTTTGCGTTGTAATTACTGCAAGTATATCCGTGTCTTTTAACATAGTCTCTACAATTTTCCTTAGCTTATTGACTTCCATGTTAGAGATACGGGGTATTACCACTTTTCCTCGGTTTGTCGATTTCATTTCGWCTCTTAGAAGTCCTATTGCCCTACTTACTTTATTGGTAGTGGTGTCTTTAACCATTGTCTTATAGACAAAGTGTTCTTTATTTATGGTTTCATTGCCCTTTTTAATTTTGGTTGTTTGTCCAAGACTAAGCACAAGTCCTTCTTCCACTTCTACGGTGGCCACGTCAGGATATCTGTCTTTATATTGCCTATAAAGGCCTGTCTTCATTTCTAGTTCTTCATTTAGTAAGATGATGGCCTGGTCGTARTCTCTGCTATGTCTCMGTGGGTTGATGTTTTCAATTTTTGTGTGGCTAAACACTTCTTCGGGCCATTCTTCTTCTAGTAGTTGTTCGAGAATTTCATTTTCATCTAGGGTTGCTAGTTGACTTTTAAGTTTTTGCATATTCTCTAACGCGACCTGACCTGACGCGACCTGACACGACCTGACCTGACACGACCTGACCTGACCTGACCTGACCTGACCTGACCCGACCTGACCTGACCTGACGCGACCTGACCTGACCTGACCTGACCTGACGCAACCTGTCACACTTGGGGCATTGAATGTGGCAAGGGAAAACATGATGATACAAGAAAAAATTCAACAGGCGTTGGTCCGCCATGATGTTAAAAAATGTTTCAACTTTTAAAGAACAAGTTGAACAGGAATTTGTCTACTCACAACCCGTTGAAGGCACTGTACCTGAAGGTCCTGGATCCATTTCTTCTTATTTAGAACTGAGAATTCTAAAAATCTTGAATAAAACAGGAAAATAATCGCACTGTCACAAAGTACAGCCACTAGACAAAGGCAATAGTGAAATGGAGGCAAATGCGGAAATGTACCAACGGCGCACCCCCACTCGACTTCCGTCAATCAGCCAATCAGAGCACAAAGACAAAAATTGAAATTGCAAAATGTAAAAAATTACACCTACTTTTTTATTATCAAGTTATAATATGTCATTTAATTCAATTCTGGGAATACCCGACGGTGGTATAGTCATAAATACTACGCAGGTGCAATTTTTACCTGTTGAACGTAACCACTAACAACCAATCAAAATCAAGCACACGCTACGCATGCACTCCCTAGCGGCAAACGTTGTAACTTTCACAGTAAAGAAACATGGCGATTATTGTTTACATTTGTCAAAAGTGAGTGAAAATAAAATTGGTTTTTTTATTGTTATTTTCAATTTACACAAGAAAATTCATAGTGTGTGGTCATTGAGGCATTAAAAGGAAAGGTTTGGCGTAGGTTTTAGCTCGCAATTCGAGAAGTAGTTAAAGTAAAAAATTACCAAATTATTATTTGTTTACAAGTAAATATAAATATCTAGTAAAAAAAACTAGTATCAATTTGGTACTATAGTATCACAACTGGCAACACTGTATGTTTAGCTTCGGTACAGTCGCGTCGGTGACGTCACGTCTAATAGCGCGTCATGATCAAGTACATTTTCATCAAATTAATACCATGGTTTCCACTACCTGTGCTAATACTATTTACGAACAGATCAGTGGCGTACGCTTTACCTCGAAAGTAACTTGAATAAATTTTATTTGGAGAACGATTAAATAAAGAATTTTTTAAATATTTTTTCCAGCATGTTCTCATTTAATACTACCAAGGATAAAATTTTGTCGGTGCATTTAAGAATTACCCTGTATAAACAGCACAGTTATTTGGGTGACCAAAGAGGTCGTTTAGATGAGGATATGAAGCTAGAGTTTAATTTGTTTCAAAAGGGTGAGAAACTTAATTTGGATAAGGAAGGTCGATCAATTAATTACCTTAGAGTTAGATGAAAACAATTTGCGACATGCTTTAGACAAATTAGTAAAATATTTGTATATCCATTTCAAGAAAAGGGTGCTGATATTGATAGAAGAATTCGACGCTCCTCTTATAAAGTTGCTACATAAGTCACAAAGTAGTAAACTAGAGGTCGTAGAGAGGATCATTGGGTATATCAGGCAAATGCTCGGTCTCGTTCTAAAAGGTAATGAGAAGGTGTTGGGTGCCTTGATTAACGCCTGTGTTTTATTGTCAACAACTATATCACCGTACGCGAACAATGTTCCTATTTGTCCATTCCTAGAAAATCATGAATTCTCTGAATATTATGGATTTACCAGGACTGAAGTAGCTGATTTGCTAAAGATGCCTTTATTCAAGGATTTTAATAAAGCCGAAATTTTATCATATTATAATGGCTATAAAGTGCTTGGCAGGAATCTGCAGTTATATAACACATATTCTGTTTTAAAATATCTCTAGGATTGGAAAGTTAAACGGCAACGCGCGAAACATGAAACTGATAAGAATCCAGATATCAAGAAGCACCCACCTAGATCTTATTTATTTTAGTAGCCACGGGATTCAATCATTGAACAAACTGTTTCCAGTTGGGGGTCTTAGAGACAAACTCAGTGATATTATCACCAAAAGTACTGTAGTGAATCCTATGTATATTCGTAGATCGACACCACAAGACGTTTTAAAACTAATGGACCTGATGTTACAACCTAGTGATATCGATTACGAACATGTCAATTTATTCCTCCAGTACATGAAGGATCGTAATACGCGCTATTAGTGTGACGTCAGCAAGGTACGTGACTGTACCTTTGAAGCTAAACAAATAAAAGTTTATTTCTTGAATCCTGGACGTGTCAACATTTCTGTAATTTAATCTGTTCTAACCTCACCTTCTGTGTACGTCAAAAATATGTTTACAGCATTGCCAGAATGTTGCAAACGACAGGAGTGGATAGGTCGTACCAAAACAAAACAAAATAAAATATATTAGCATTCACATAATGTGTATTTGGCTGAGAATATAAATTATTATTTGTTCACAAGTAAAAAATATATAAATATCTAGTAAAAATAATCTAGTATCAATTTGGTACTCTAGTATCACAACTGGCAACACTGTATGTTTAGCTGCAGTACAGTCGCGTCTGTGACGTCACGTCTAATAGCCCGTATTGAAAAGAATCAAAACTGGGATGTTTACGCTATACCAAACGGTGAAGCCACAGACGAAATTATTAATCAGTTTTGTGATAAATCGTTCTACATGACCAAATACAGTATTAGTAGCGAGATGATTAGCAATACGACGGCTATAAATGATCTAGATAGTGACAAACAATAATGAATCATTTCAAAAGTTCCCAGATTCCATTGCAAGCTTACTTTCTGGAGGTTTCAAGCCAAAGAATTATGATGAGCTTAAGGCTGTTCTCTATACTTTATGTATAAACGAATTCGATCCATTATGTCAAGACAATAGGAAAAATCGACTTGACTTACTGTTTATAAGAAAGGATGGCACAGGAATAATTATAGAAGTGAAGTTTGATCAAACTGATGCACAAGCTGGTCTCAAACAAATTTTTGACAAAGAGTACAATAAAGTTTTTGAAAGAGAGAATATTACAAAAGACAAAATATATATTGGGCTACACTTGAACTTGAAAAGTAACTGTCTACGGTTTTGCAACATCTAATGATGAGGTTGTTGAATCTTTCGAAAATATTTCTAAAGACAAGCTGATCATAAAATCCAGTAAATTTTAAAGGATATGTATCATATAGCTTAGTTCACATAAATCCCTTATATAACTTAACTTTTAGACGTTCTGTCGGATTATAATAAAACGAAAATTTGAAATTATCGTTTATGTTAGCTAAGTTGATATACAGGCTGCGCCAGAACTCGCGCCCCAGAGAAAATTTTCAAGTAAAATAAGATACCAGGAGCATGAAAAAAATGTTTAAAAAATTCTATCTGTCAAAAAATTTTGACATATTTTTTGACATTTGACATTTTTTCATGTCTATTTAATGATACTGATGATTTTGTATATGTTTTTTTACAATTATTTAGTAAAGCTACAAAAATTTTGCCAATAAAAGCCGCAAATAACATTGAACAGAGATACAATTTAGGATACTGCTTCCTTGTTTCCTCTTTTAATAGACTGTAGCAAAAAAACGTAGAAAATAATTTTTCCAACAGAAATAAATAGAGTCAAAGTGCAAAATTTAAACTCTCATAACTTCGAAATTTTTATAGATAAAATTTTTTTAACATTTTTTCCATGTTCCTGGTATCTTACCTGACATGGCATTTTTCTCTGGGGCGCAAGTTCTGGCGCAGCCTGTATTTCTGAACCATTTTGTTAATTATGTTACAAAAATTTAACAAACAAAAATTTAAAAAAAGGTCACCGTTCGCCGATCAGTATAAATGTGTCGATGTGATCATAAATACAATTTTAAATTTACTCTTTAAAAGCATATCAGAAAAAAACATTTTATTCTTCGACACTGACAAAATTTACGGTTTTTCTCCCGTGGAAGAAAGTTTTGACAACTGTTTAGTTGTCAATACAAAACGTTAGATTATTTTTAACAAATTTAAAGCAAGTTTAAGCCTTGTTGAGTCTAATTTGAATTTAAAATGTTGTATTCAGCTCGTTTGAGTGTAAGTCAAACACTTTATTAAACCTCGTGGATGATAAACCACTCGTTACACTCGTGGTTTAAAAATCGACTCGGTGAAATAATGCGTCCGATTTATACTGAAACTCGTAGAATAAATAGCTATAATTACGTTAGTGGCGACCATTTGCTAATTCTCCTATCAGAAAGGTCAAGTAGTATTAAATAACAAATATGTTATTACTAAAAAGAGGTTTATATTTAATGATAATAATAAGAATATACAAGGAGCGAGTTCCAAGATTCTAGGTAGTTTACTATATTTTTAATTTCTACAGTAAAAAGTTTTATTAGCAATACTTATTTTCAAAAGCAAATATTTACAGCAACAACCCGTTTCGTAGAAATGACTAGCTATTAACAAATTACAATTTTTAAATTACTGTTACTAGGCTAGTAACTTTTATGAAATGGACTTCAGATATTATCACTGTTTGTAGTTGAACGAATATACTTTTATATGTTAGTATGATTCGATTTTTTAAGTTGAAACGATGAATTTTCAGAAGGTTTTATTCGCGATTGTTTTCGATTTTGATCCCAAAGAAAAGGACAACTTTCATCTTTTTCTTCATCATTATCTTCAGTAACTGCAACTGCTCTCAATGGACTAACACAAGAATTATTCTGAATATTTAGTTGCATTTGTCCTCTATTGTCCGGAACACTGTAGCTTTTCCGGATCAAGGATTTCCCTAATCCCTGATAATCTAATCCTAACATTCTAAGAAATTTTAATTCATTCTGTTTCACAAATTTTTGTAAAAGTTCATCGTCAGTTTGTGTTTCTTTATCAATACACACTGAGAAAGACCGAAATGTCAAAGGTGGAGATGACGACTCTTCCCAGTAAAATATTTCTGGTGGATGTGAAGTGCTTCTAGCTAAACTTCCTATTCCAGAGCCACTATGATGCAGATTGGGATTCGAATGAGCGGAATAATTAACTGACCCACTGTATAAAGACGATATTGTCATTTCCTGAAGAGTCTGAATAGCATTTCGCACCTACAATAATAATTTTTAATTACTTATTTTTTTTTTTTGTAACAAAAAAAAAACCTCCGTACTAAGAGTTGTTACGTTTTGGTGAAGAGTTGCAATTTGGTTATCTAAACTATCAACACTGTTTCTCGCATTTTCAACACTACTATTCAATAAACAATTGACATCTTCAAAAGAATTCTTTTTTATTTGTTGGGGCAATACAACACTTCTTTGTCGTTCGACACGTTCTCTTAACATGGCTAGATGATTAGTTGCCACTCCACCTAAACGGGGGCGATGAAACTCTGGCAACCTAAAATACCTTTTATTGTAAATCAAATAGTTTTTAATTGCTTACGTCATGTTATGTTTGGCTTGTTGAGAAATATTTTTAACGGCATGTAAAGGAGATCTGTTGAGAGATAAAGACGACGTTTCTCTTTCTTCGTGCAATATTTCGTCATCTTCACTTATACTAGGCAGTGTTAGGGATGGAAAGCCATTAGGATCCGATTCTTGCTACAAATGAGAAGCATTCAAAAGAATTTAAAAGGCAAATTCAGCATATTTACCTCAGCTTCATATCCTTCTCTGACATTAAAAGTTAAATCATGCTGAATGTCGTTTGCAAATTGCTTCTGATATTCTGGGTACAACCTAAGTACGTCTACTAATCCCTGCATATGAATGCATTTCAAATCGCAATAAGTAAGTGCACGCACATCGCTACTTGATTTGATGATTATATCGGCTGAAGTACCTATTCGAGATACGTCTGGAGGAGGACCACTAGAGGGATGCTGCAGATGAAGATTAATATCGCTTCCTACAAGATCACCTTTGCCTGTATGGATACAAAATATATTTTCCATTAGACATCATAATACATCAAAATTACATATTACGTTGTGATTAGATGTGGATGAAAATTTTTAAATAAAAAAGATGTAACGGTTTTTGTATTAGCGTTCACCACTGCTCCGGTTTCGTTTGATAAGCACTTGTATTGCTGGGAAGCTCTTTTGGCAAACAATAATTTAAGGCACCATGAATTTGAAAATAAATGATGAAAATAGAGTTGAGATACCCAAATCCCAATGCCTCAAAGAGTAGAAAAACTAGAAGAAGTTATACAATAAGCCGAGGTCCAATGAAGCAACCACCGAAGTTTGTATATTATTTTATTAGCAATCATTCCCTAAACAAAAGAAAGCCAATGAAGATTTTATCTAATTTTAAAAAACGTGTTGGGAAGTGACCATTTCCCAACCTGAACTACCATATTATGTATCAACTGATAAGTGATAAGTGACAACTTTCCAACTTGAACTGTACCTATATTTCATATCAATTGTTAAATGAAATTGAAATGTCACACTTTTCAACTTTTCACATGCAAGGTAATTTAATAAATAATTTATGATTCTGAATGAAAGATATTTTAGTTTTTCTTTCAGAAGGTAACCCCCAACACACAAATTGGTCACCAACCATATTTTTCAGCACAACTCAGTATTTTTAACGCCAAAGTCCTGTCGATTCCGTTTTTGATAATTATAATCTAGATAAATAATACGAGTATGAGTGCTTAAACTTACCAAGAATAGCAACCACCATATCATCTTGAACAACTTCCATAGATCCGTTGCAAATATAATAAATGTAGTTTAGTGCATCTCCTTTGTGAATTAAGTACTCGCCTGGAGCACAGAAATTGTTTCTAATGTGTAAAGAAAGAAGTTTGAGGCACCCTTGGGAAGCCTCTTCAAATATCGGCAACTGCAAAATTTCTCGATGAAGGTGCAGGGAGACATCGCCTCGTAATTCTTCAGGAAATTCTTTTAAGGTCTATAAAAGAAATTGAATTTTTTTTCAGTACATTTGAAATAGCAGATTGTCATCAAAAACTCGCCTCGTGAATGTCTATACCATGATTGAGGGACCATGTGGTCTGGAAATAATCTTGCATCCGTTGCTTCAATTCCTTTGGTATTTGATGCAAAGTAAAGAAGTCCTTCAGGTCCCGCCATTTGGTTTGGTAGAGAGACCGTCTAGAGTACATCCTCTGTATAATGGCCGTAACATTCCCAAAAACGACAGCATGCATAAGAGCTGTCCAACTTAAATAAAAATTCTCCACGTTTACAGATTTCATACTTACCACCAATTAACATCACACATATGCTGAAAATTTTTTCGCTTGTGGTGTTGGCGCTTACATTACCAAAACCAACGCTAGTTAGACTTGTGCAAGTAAAGTAGAGAGCTGTAACGTATGCATCTGTTTTAGAGACGTTGGCTACATCGGGAAGTTTTAACCGTTCTGCTAATGTGTGAATCCAACCTTTAACAAAAGCAACATTTCAAAATTTTAAAATTAAGAAAATAGAGTAGGTAGGAGTTGGGTGTTTTTCAATATATTTTTACATAGCTACTTAAATATTCCACATACAGCAGTGTATTTCTCGGTAATTTCAAAATGTTTTCTCAAGTCGTAACTACAAAAATTTAATTATAAAGGTGTTGTTCAAAAACAGTTTTTTTTGGTTTTAAATCGTATGTAATTTGCAAAATTCTATAGGTCGTTTGATAATAGCATACAGAACAAAAAAGTGTTATTATTCTTTTTTGCAACCGTTACAGGAAAACAAATACTTGCTGTTATAAAGTTTCTTATTGGAAAAGTTTCTTGAAACTTTTGTTTCCTGTGTGTCATGATATACAAGAACAGTTCAGATATTATTACTTATAACGATGGTGCTTTAATGAAGAGCTTTAATACCTGTCAAGCAAAAAAAATCTCTTGTCTTGGACTGTAAATTAGTTTAGAGTTGTCGTGGAAAAAAGTATATGAATAGCTGTCAAATTTTGCCTATTATTTCAAAACTACCCTGTATATGCATACATTCTCCGGAAACTATTTGTTTGAAACTACGTTTTTTTTTTAAATATCTACATTTAATGTAACTATAAAATGTTTCGAAACAAATATGTATCAAAACAATCGAAAATTATCGAAGTGTCTTGAAAATTTGTATCGGAATGTATATTCAAACAAAATTAAAAATAAATTATAAAATTTTAATAAGAATTACAAAAGTTTGTAACCTTTAAAAATCACTTCGAACATAGACTTTGTATATCACTTTTTTTATGGGATTCTGACCGGTACGGTCCTGTTGTAGAGAGTATCCAAACTGCCATCAAAATCTCGACCGGAAACATATTATTACAGAGTAATACAACTAGCAAAAAAAAAATTTTGCAAATTCTGAATCAGTTAACCTACCTCCTCTCATTAAGAAAGGTAATTCACTGGCCAGAGAATTGAGAAGTTATTATTAATTAAATAAGTTCTAGAAAAACTATAAATTTTTAAAAACCAGTGAATTTTTGAGAATTTAGAAAATCCTGTAAAATATTTCTAATATTTACCTACAGCCCTTTTTGGAATTACCTAGGACAAAATTGTTAGCCACTCTCTGAGTTTCTTGACATAATTGACGCCATTGGAAAATAAAAACAAAACTCTATGTGTAAAAAATATAATTATTTTAATAAAATTAATACATTCATACCTACATTTCCATTAAAACTGACTCTTTCCCCAAATGTAAATAAAATTTGTCCTTTAATTTTGATTTTGTGTTAAAATTAAGTATGATCAAAAATTTGGTATTACATTTTTATTAATTTGGTTTTAATAATATATTTCTTTATATGTATACTAGCTTGCACCCGTGACTTCGTCCACGTAGATTTTCGATATAAACTTTTGTTAATTTCAAAGGTGGAATGTAAAGTTAGTCTGTTTATCAATTTTTTTTTCTTGATTCATCAACTCAAAACAATGCGGGAGCTGAGGGCTGATTTTTAAGAAAATAATGAAAGCGCGTTACAAACGCTTACACCCCGTTTCACCTCGTTGAATTTTCGACTACACCCTCAAAAGTCAAAATTTTATTTTTTATGTTTATAATTTCGTTTAAATATTTGCACCCTATTTCATCCCGTTATACCTAGGTTAGTTTTTGAAAAGTGCCTGATTAGTGCACTTCACTCTCTAAGAATTATATTTTCCAAATTTTATCTTCGTTTAAACGTGTACACCCCATTTCACCCCCTTAGAAACTAATTTTTAAAAATCTCGTCTTAGTGCAGCCTTACCACCGCCAAAGAACCTATCTTCCAAATTTTATTTTCTAGCTTTGTTTAAGTGTTGACAACCCATATAAATATATTAAAAAAAAAACTTCCTTAGTGTTCCTCTACACCCTCCAAAGAATATGTTCCCTAATTTTTTTGTTTTTATCTTCGTTTAAATGTTTACACCCCGTTTCGCTCTTCTTAAAAATTGTTTTTCAAAAAATCTTTCCTTAGCGAACCTTTACACACTCTAAGGAACATATCTTCCAAATTTCATGTTTCTATCTTCGTTTAAATATTTACACCCCATTTCACCCCCGTAAAAATTGATTTTCAAAAAATCCTTTCTTAGCGGACCTGTACACCCTCTAAAAAACATATCTTCTAAATTTGATGTTTCTATTTTCGTTTAAACGTATACACCCCGCTTTACTCCCTTTATTAAGGGAGTATACTTATTACTTTTTTAAATTCTCGTCTTAGTGCACCAAAGCGCGAATTGGTGCACATCGCAACTGTGCCTGCCGACGAAATGCCGATGCGGTCGTTTCTATAAAATCCAGTTTTGAAAAAAAATTTATGCACATTTTCGAAATTTACAAAGGTCGGTAATAAAACGAGAACTTTTAATTGAGGTAAATTATTTCTAACTTAGTTTTAATAAAAGTCTATTATTATTAACTAACTTTTATTATTAAACTTTAATTAAATAAAACTCGCACTGACATTCAAACTTACCTAATTCACTCTCTATCTCCTTTTCAGCAATCACATACCAAATGCAAGCCAACCAATGTGCCACTAAAGTAAACGAAAGCATAAGTAAAGTTAAAATCATTGCACTATACTGCGAGTAGCGATCCATTTTTTGAAGAAGTCTGGCCAAGCGAAGAAGTCGAGTTAGTTTGATAAGATGAGGTCGAAAAGGGCTCGATTTCTGTAAGCATTTTTGCAATTAGAAAAGTAGGTATCAGATTTAATTAGTAGGTATTGATGAGTTTCAACAACAATGCGTTAAAATAGTGCTCTGTGAGTATTCAGAAGTCTTTTTTTTAAGCATACTCACATAGCCTTATTTCTAGTTTGAATAAACAAAACATGTCAATGCCTTGATTTAAGTGTTAGTGATAGAAAAAACTCTTACGCATATAACATATAATTTAAGAAATATCTATTATTCTAAATTTAATTTTATCGCAAAATTTGAATTTTATGTTAAAGTAAGTGTTATATTTACCACAATTTTGTAGTGCTTTGAATAAAAAATAAGTAGCGATGTCGCCGCAAATTCTACCGTTTTGTTGCCAACTCAAACAGTTATTGTTAATCCCACTGTATGCAACAGTGACAATTTAAAAACGTTTATTCACAAATGTCAAAAAAGTGTCACTTTTGTGTCTATACACAGTGATTTAAAAGGATCAAACAATCGCTTATATTTAATCAGATTTGCTTTTATAATTTTTCTAAGCCGCGTGGTTTTGAAAATATGAATATTTAAAGATAGTTCAAGTTGGCACCGCTGCACCTTGTGCCATCACTCAATAATTTAAAACGTTTATTACTATACTCGTAGAAAGAAATTTTTGATGTGCTGATACCAACTTTACCTGTTCAGAAAATCTCTACACATGAGGAGGTTTTTATACACGTTTAACTTATATTATTCTTAAAATCTGATTTTCCGACAACCATATACAAAAGTAACTGTTTCCATACAACGAATTTTTAGAGAAACTTGTTGGTTCTAAAAACCACCAGATTGATTGTGTGGTCCTTTTGACTTTTTGAAATTCACTAAAAGTACTAATTTAACTGAATGTTTTACTTTTAACTATTATGCAATGGCCCAAAAGTAGACCTGTATGTTTGAAGTCAAATTGCATGGACGCAATTTTAACCATTTTAAACTGCTCATAATTAGCATAACTGACTACAAATCGTAAGGGTGTAAGGTTCTTGAAACTCTTTATTTAGATTTAGATTTACAGATCTTTCAAAAAATATTTTCAATAAAATAAGGTTTGGCAAACGTAGTATTCCAAAAAAATATTAAGATATTCTAGTTTATCTGTATTTTTATTTAAAATTCACCCAAAACATTAGGAATTCGGAAATGCTATATGTATATTTACTTCAGGTAAGTATGTCAAAATTCAAACAAATATTCAGTGGTTTTCTGTTCCAACCGTACTGTAATTCGTGGACAACGGTGAATTAAAATTATGATACAGTGGGCAAATTCTTATATTTAAAAATGAGTGTAAATAGATTCAAAAATTTGAATTCAGAAATTACCTCTTCACCGTAAAGTGCATACAGTAAATCGAATGGCAGTGCTGCAAGCATATCCACGATAAACCAGGTCCTCAAGTAGTTGAGAGATATTGCTTTCCAGTTGGATACGACTTCTCCTTTTCTATTGACATAGGTTGTTCGAAAATTTAATAATATATCTAAAACAAAAATGCATTGTTTTAGTTAATTTTTATTTATCTTTAAAAAAGTAAATTTTTCTCAGAAAACTGATTGCAAGTGTAACGAAAAAGTATGTTTTAGTGGGCAACAAAACTGTAAATTTCTTTAGCCAAATATGTTCTCTGACAGGAAAAAAAGTGTGGCAGATTGTCATAAGTGCAATTATTTCATGCAATGAAGTGATTATGTTAACAAAGAAAGTATCTTAACACTTGCGTTTATCTACTTTTGTTAGATTTGGTTTTATTGTCATTAAGTATAAATCACTTTTTTCTCCCTTAGGTAAATCATCAAACTGTTGAACAATATTTCAAATAATCATAATTCAAATTAGGTACTAACAAACAGACCTACGAGCACTGTTACGAGTATAAAATAGAACGTATTGTTAAGACTTTTGATGTGGAATTGTAGATAATAAATGTTTTTATAGTAAAATCTATCCATTAATACATACATTTTGTATACAAATAAATAGTAAAAATGCATCTACATGATGTGTTCTTAATATTGCGAAAAACTGCAAACACATTCCACATCAAAAATGAACACTAATTCGTTAAATAAACGATAGTCCTATAAAGCTTCGTCACGGGCTAATAAAATTTCATGGATAAAAAAAATTAAAATCTACAAAGTGTTAAAAAAAAAGTTTGTATATTTCAGGAGGTAATAGTATGGACTAAAACAAACAAAAAAGTCTTAATAAACATGAATCTGCAAAGTAATTGTTTCGGAGATATCAAAAATTATTCGTTTTTTGAAACATTTATTTACAGTCTGTTCAAACAAAAAAGAGAAGCTTCTAGTACAAATTCTAAAAATTTTCATATTTGATATCTCCGAAACCGTTACTTTGCGGATCCATGTTTATTAATACATTTTTGTTTATTTTGGTCTATATAAGATTTAATTTTTTTTTAACATCCTGTAGTAGTCTCTCCAAGACCACTAGAGTTATTTTCATAATATTTTACAGGCTTTGTAAGCCATTGAAAAGGCTTATTTTATTTTTACTCTTACAATCAGCGTGCGGTTGAGTACACCACTGGCTATTTTTATTATTTTATTTTTTATGTGTTATTCCTTGATGTAGAATATGGAGTTGCAGTTTTTCGCAATATTAAGAAAACATCATGTAGATGTTCTTCCTGGTATTTTTAAAAAACATATAACTTAAATACAGACCATATAAAAAATGGCACACCAACTCAATGATAGGTGGTAGAAGAATAATTACATACAGGATGTTTCATAACTTGGTCCCCCAGAGAAAAATGCCAAGTGAGATAAGATACCAGAAACTTGGAAAAAAAATAAGAAATTCTATTTAAAAGAAATTACATTATGAGAGTTTAAATTTTGCAGTTTGAGGCCTTTATATACATATGAATCTTTTTTGTACCTTTCTTTACTGAATAATTATAAAAAAAAACATATACAGGGTGCGCCAAACTCGCGCCCCAGAAAAAATGCCATTACCAGGAACATAGAAAAAATGTTAAAAAAAAAATTATCTATAAAAATTTCGAAGTTATGAGGGTTTAGAGTTTGCCCTTTAACTCTATTTATTTCTGTTGGAAAAATGATTTTTCAAGTTTTTTTGCTACATGCTATTAGAAGAGAAAAGAAGGAAGCTGTACTCTAAATTGTAACTCTATTTAATGTTATTTGTGGCTTTTATTGGTAAAATTTTTGTCCCTTTACTAAATAATTGTAAAAAACATATACAAGATCATCGGCATCCTTAAATAGATATAAAAAAATGTCAAACGTCCAAAAATAAATGTCAAAATTTTTTGACAGAGATTTTTTTAAACATTTTTTTCATGTTCCTAGTATCTTACCTTACTTGAAAATTTTCTCTGGGGCGCAAGTTCTGGCGCAGCCTGTATAAGATCATCGGTAACATTAAATGGACATCCAAAAACTGAAAAAATTTTTTCATATTTCTTTTATCTTAGCTTCCTTAGCATTTTTCATTGGGGCGCGATTCTACTCGTAAAACATCCTCGATAAAGTTAAAAATAATGAAAAAATTATACGTATCTAACAGTTATTATTGAGTAAAAAATAATAAATAAAACTAGATGTGGCAATGTCGTTAGTTAAAACTAATACATAGTGTTGACATCTGCAAACAGTAATTTTTGCTAAATAAATAATTCTTTAAAAATTCAAATACATACTGCAAGATACTAAAAATAGATGCAAAAACAATAATCCCTCATTGATATACTATAAAACGATTAATTAAAATAAAATATAAAAACTTGAGAAAATGATGTAAGTTGAAGAATTTAACAAAATATGTTTGCAGCTTCAAATTTTGTAAAATATGAGATCAAATTTTTTTCAACATTTTTCTTCCAATCTACCACTGAGTTGATGCGCCACTTTTTGAGCGTCCTGTATTTAAAAATACCTTTTTTAATATTCCAAAAAAGAAAGAATACATACATACCTTTAAAAGTAAAATTATAGTAAAAATTAAAATGAAGACTATATTCAGTAGAATACTCTAAAGAAAGTAACCCAAAAATATGTTAGAAAGTAAAAATTACCTATAAAAAACAGTGCTTCGACAATAACATCCATAATGACCGACGGCCTTTCAGAATTCAGAAAACTAGCGTTGTAAGGAACGACAACAGCAACATAAAACGTAGCCATCAATATAAGCCAGTCCCATCCGTTTTTAAACATACCATAGTGAGATATAATAAATCTACTTTTTTTTATTGCGGAAGTTTTGTATTCGGGCAAAGGTGCTGGGGTGGAACTCAACAAATTCTGCAAATAAAATATTTTTAATTATTTTTTTGCAATTTCTAATAAAAATACATTTACATTATTTAGTTTTAATTTACTTTTTGCCTTCTCAGGTTTGTAATGACCTGAAAGCTGATATAAGACGGCTCTTGAACGTCTTCGTCTATAATTTGTAGGTGGAACCTCGGGATCGAGGTTACCATTGGCGTCTGGAACGAGGCAAGGGTCAGCACTTCGGAAGCGAGCTCCAAGAACGGCTGCTGTATATAACGATTTTAGCAACATGTAAAACAAATTAAAACCAAAAAAAATAAAAAATTGTAAAAATTTCATAACAATTCTCTGGGTTTACTACTAGGCATTCATCACATTTAGCAAATTTCAGAATACAAATCACCACATGTTCAAAATACGCATAAAGCGCATTTTCTTGTGTGCAATTCTAAAAATTTCAAGTCAATTTATTGCAATTCAATGTCAGTTTAAAAAAAAAATGTATTCATTGCCCAATTACAACAATAAGCCAAATTTTAATACAAAATTATAATAAAAAGCATAATAAAGTGACAAACAGACAAATTACAAGTAAAAATAAAAACAAGACAATCATACCCGATCAAAAAACAGTTCTAAAAAAGCTTTTTTGATACTAGAAAGATAAGAGACATCAATGTCACACTCTTCAGCAACTAAATTAAAACATTGACACACAAAATATTTAGGCGATTTTGAAATGTTGCTACGACAAGTAGGAAGGTAAAAAGCAGATCAAGTAGAGCAGGAAAAAATAAGGAGATTCAAAAAACTTATAAGAAACAAGCCCGCTTAATTGACCCCTTGCTGGCTTAACAATAATAGATAATGCATTTATTTCATGTAAGTGAGTTTATATTAAAATCTTGTAAAAGTCACCTCCTAAATTTTTTTCACAACTATTACCTTGTTTACAAGGTGTTTCAAAACTATCGCCCTAAAGAATAATACCAAGAAAAGATACCAGGAATATGGAAAAAATGTATCTATAAAAATTTAGAAATTATGGGAGTTGAAGTTTTGCACTTTGACTTTATTTATTTCTGTTGAAAAAATGATTTTCTAGGTTAAAAAAATTATCTATAAAAATTTCGAAGTTATGAGTTTAAATTTTGCACTTTGATATTATTTATTTTTGTTGGAAAAATAAGTTTTTTTGCTACAGACCATTAGAAGAGGAAACAAGAAAGCTGTATTCTAAATTGTAACTATGTTTAACGTTATTTTGTGGCTTTTATAGTCAAAATTTTTGTACCCACCTATACTAAATAATTATAAGAAAACATATACAAGATCATTGGTAGTACTTAATAGACATAAAAAATGTCAAACGTCAAAAAATAAATATCAAAACTTTTTGACATATGTATACAGGGTTATTCATAAATATGAAGCAATATTTGAACCTCAAAAATAACCCATAAAATGATGTTAATTTAAATAATAACTCGTGTCCTATCTCCACTGATAAGAATTTTACAGCCCTCGGAATGAGGGTATGAAAATTTGATTTTTTTGTAGTAACTTTGAAACTATTTGACCAAATATTATAAAATTTGGAAAATTTCCCTGTGACAACATACTCTTTGAACTGGTAATCACGAAAACCGGATACATCCACTCAATTTCCGCTTCGAGCAGTTGCAGGTCACATTTTCTGTGTTTTTCCATTTTTTTGCTCTCTTAACACCAATTTTTTATTGCCCAAATAGATAGAGTAATCAATTTCGAATAAAAAACGTATAACCTTTAATACCCCTAAAATGAACCGTTTCAAAGATATTTTAATTTAAACTAAGGACTGCACAACGCTGAAATCAAAAAATAGGGATTTTGAATAAGTGGTATCCACGGCAACCAATGACCATGGTCACAAAAATCTCTACCAGGCATCTGTTAACTTTGACGATAAATTTTTGTGAATTTTTTATAAATTAAATGCTACGAGATCGATTTGGATTTATTGTAGATTACGTTTGGAGTATGAAGTAAACTCTTTTATTAAATATTTTCAATTAATCGCCCAAGAATCGTCCAATGTCAAAGTTGACAGATGCCTGACAGCGATTTGTGGGACCATGGTCATTTGTTGCCGTGGATATCATTTATTCAAAATCCATATTTTTTGATTTCAGCGTCGTGCAGTCCTCAGTTTAAATTAAAATATCTTTGAAACGGTCCATTTTAGGGGTATTAAGGGTTATGCGTTTTTTTATTCGGAATTGCTCTATCTATTTGGGCAATAAAAAATTGGTGTTAAGAGAGCAAAAAAAATGGAAAAACACAGAAAATGTGACCTGCAACCGCTGGAACCGGAAATTGAGTGGATGTATCCGGTTTCCGAGATTACGAATTCAAAAGGTATGTTGTCACAAGGAAATGTTTTATAAGATTTGGTCAAATAGTTCCAAAGTTATTACAAAAAAATCAAATTTCCATACCCACATTCTGAGGGCTGTAAAATTCTTATCAGTAGAGATAGGACACGAGTTATTATTTAAATTAACATCATTTTATAGGTCATTTTTGAGGTGGCAAGACTTTTATTAATCCAATTAGTTTTCCACAGGTTGCTTTTAAGTATTCCACGTGTTGTTTCCAAGTAACGTGTGAGTCAAATATTACACCTAAGAATTTTGTGGATTGTTCTTGTTTGATGACTTGATTATATAACTTCAGTGTTGCTTGATTATAC